GTATTTATTAATATACTAATTTAATAAAATTTCATACTTATTTAATGTTACGTTATAAAATTTATTATTTTTAAATTATTTTATTACTTTTTAAAAATTCTTTTATTAGTTGGTTAAATTTTTATTTTAAAATCAATTCCATTTTCGCATTTTTGCAATTTCAAAGGCAAAATTGAAGTAATTAAGCCCTGTGACAACCAGAACGCGACCCAATCCCACCCAAGTCCCACGACTTGGCAAAACATAAAATGATCTAATCCTCCCAAAGTCCCACCACATCTGTGTCCACTTGAATCTATATATTTATTTATTTTGATTTTAAATTACACAACAAAAATAATCTTCTCTCAATTTTTACTCCACTCAACGCAAATATTATTTAACTCGAAAAACGTCACTGAATCAATTTAGTTCATTGGCGTGTCCACTTGAATCAGACTACTAAATTTCGACATCATCCATCTTAACTAGTCCCTACGCGTCAATTGATTTGATTCATCAAACACTGCCTCGTTTTGGATCATATTGGGTACTGTTCCCGGGACCATCCACAATACCAGGTACCGTATTTGGAGTTCGCCTAGTGCTGCTTGATGAATTAGTCTGCCACTTGGGCCCCAAGGATTTGATGACTGCAATCAACAATTTGTCTCCTGCTATTTGTCTCACACGCTGTATCATTTCACGCCGGGTTATTTTGTTCTCCTTGTGTTCTCTATGACACTTGATCAGCGAACTAATGTCAGATGGTGGTAAGAACTTCGAAAGTGAGGTGATTAGAACTGGAATTGGCAGCCAGGGTGACGTTGGCATCTTCCGGTTCACTCGAGGTTTAGTGAACCCTTCAAAGCAAGGAGGAACTCTGAAACTCAAGAGGAACTCGGGCAAGATATGAGTGTTGGCATGGCTGCTCCACACTATATACTTCTTCGGGGACAATAAATTGTCTACCCCAGAATCAAACTCGTTGGAACTGGGACAACACTGCTGAGAACCAGGTTGGACAATTTCTGTCTTCCCTAATATAACGCGGCATAGAAACACATGCCGCAGCCCATCTTCATCAACAACAGCGTTCCTCACACATTCCAAGGGAGAATCACCAGGAGTAAGATAGACGCCCTGCCCATACGATCCATCGTTCTTGGGCATATTGCAGCTGAATCCATACTGAATAATCTTGGATATGTCGTCTTTTCTAACGGCGCACCAAGCAATTGTAACATTGGCACTGCCCCCACGCATCTGCTCCATTGTTTTCCTGGAAATCTTAAAGTTTTGCATCATTCCTTGCGCCATAACATTGGAGTACATATTCCTGTATACCGCCGATACCTCAACGAGCATGCGAAGAGGACCCAAATGGACGAGAGACTTTCCTGTAAGGAGATCATAGGGTCTCTGGCCTTGGAATACCTGCACGAAGGATCCTTCCCTAGACACAGAGGATTGGTGAAGACTGGAACCAGAAACGCTGCTTTCGCAATCAGAGAGATCCGACTCTAGATCTTGGCTGCTACCCACAGAGGTGGAAGAAGACAAAGCATCGTTATTCTCCGCATTCTCTAATCGGTCGGGGGTTGGATTAAGAATGCAATTGTTTGAAGGATTCTCTACTATGCAATTGTTGATCTTCTGCTCTAGAGTCACCAAACCCCGTTTGATTCCACCTCTGGTCGAAGTTGAAGTGAAAACAACATGATTTTGGGTATTCTCCATATCGCAGAATCAAGCAACAACGAACTCTTGTTCTTTACAATGGAAATTAGAATTGATCAAAACCCTTATAAAAAAACTGGTACAGGAATATAGGAAGGATGAAAACCCAGACAACCCAGATCAGAACTCGATCCAGAAATTCAGTCCGTATCACAGAACCGAGCATTAGCGGACGAATTTATAAAAGAAAAGAAGAACAAAAGACCAACATGAATACGAAAACCCAGTTGAAATTGGAAACGGCAAGGGGAAAACTGAAATCCCGGTTGGACTAGACTCAAAAAGGCAAAAGGAAGGCAGAACTCCTGGACTGGTGCGGAATTGGGAAAGAATATAAGAGTCTATAGAATTTGGAATTGACCCAATAAGGAAAGTTGGCTTTGGTTATGACATCTAGAATAGAACATTACGTGGAGAAGAGGTAGGCGAGATTTTGATCGGAACCGACTTTCTTTCCACAGTTTGGCGGTACCGGATGGCAGCGAGCGCAAATCGTTTTTAGAAAAGAAAAAGGCGGGTCCGGGATTACTGACAGCGACCGAACTTTTTCAAAACCAGCTCCAGAACTTTAGCAAAATGTTTGGTTGAGGAGAACGAAGAAAAAACTTACTCTATTTAATTACAAAAAGAATTAAAGAGAAAAGAAATTATTTACATTATTTTTTCTTTAGAACCAAACACAGTGTTTGTGTATGACTAGAATTAGAACCTTGGATGTCTGATTTTATTTGAAACTAGGTGTTCTAGTTTTGATTAGAATTCTATTCTAAATGTCTTATTTTCTTAGAACTTTGATTTTATCAAAGTAGGCACGTAGCATTGCGATAAAACACCCAGGTACAATGGGCAGCAAGATTGTAATCAGTTAACGGAGGCGAAAAGAAAATTTCATTTAGCGAATTAAATCTCATAAAGACAAGTTATAACACATTTTCTTAGGCGAAAAACAAAATCAGATTATCTACATGCAGTTGGTAACTAACTGGGTTTCAAGTCTGCAATTACAGAATTTAGCTCACCTTTGTTACAACAAAGAAGGGGTTGTTTCTAAAGCATTCTTTCCAGACATATCCTTTGACTTTCCCCGTTTGGTACAAATATTCTTCGCATTCTTCACGTTACACGGTTACAGACAGTAGTGACACAGAGGTACACTCAAGAAAGGATCGTGTATCCTCTAAATAATATGATAAAGCAAACCGAAGAAGAATGCAACTCTACACAGAATCCAATCCCTCAACCTGCTGTCGAGCGAGGTATCTTTCCCTTCGTTCTTTCTGTAAGCAAAGATATACAGAAAGATAACAATCACAGGCCTACAAATAAAGGTACAGCAAGAAGTTTCCTAAGAGGTTTGTCTACAACAAAACTCACCCATTCATCTATGACTAGTCCTTCTCCAATAATCCTTGGACCAGTATCCTCAGGAGGTTTTTTGCGTGCCTCAACTGCAGCATCAGCCTCTGCCAATTGGCGCTTCAATTTATCCAAAGCCTACATAAGACAATGATGAATGACTCCTTAAATAAATATCCACTATGTTTTAATTTTTCCATCTTCTTTTCTTTATTTATTCCTTTGTGGTTGGTAAACTGTATGTATAGTTTAGGAAAAGAGAAGGAAGCACAAATATCAATATAAGCTCAATTGTAAACAGCATTATTTACCGGACAAGGACGCTCAGGATGTAGAAAAACAACACGCAAGATTTGCTCTATTGCCACTTGATCCTTTTGCTCATCAAACTGCATAAAACAAACATCTAAGAGTCAGAGTAATCTAGTAAATAGATCACATGCATCACCTAATCCAAAATGTTCCAGACAAGCAAAGAAAGTAAGCAGTATGGTATAGGTGACAGAATATTCTAAACCATTTGTCATATAAAGGCAGATATACTAATCAAAATATGATTCTGAGATCATGCATGCCCCAATAAATGGACCCAACATCAGCTTCCAACAAGATACCCATCCCATCATGTAGGGAGAGTGGAGGTGTAACCACCAAAATCAGAAGTGGTGTTGCAGCACACCAGCACATTTTGATGAGAGAAAAATATATGGTCACAAAATCTTTCAGAAAGCAGGTGTGTTCTAGACATGAAGAATAATGGAGGCAGCAAGCTGTCTTATAAATTTATAATGGCATCTGCTGCTGCTAGAAAACAAAGGCAACTGGAAATATTTTAAGAATGAAATTATAATACTGCAAATAACTAATGTCCTCCAGCAGATCCTATTCAATTTCCAAAAAATTAAAAGTTAAAACCTCCAATCATTCAAAATTAATATGAAAATTTAACAGTTGAAAATCATTTTAATCACCATACACCAACCAAAATTTAACTTTGGTCACACAAAAAAGAAATCGTTCTCCTCGAGATAAAATTAAAAAATTAAAACAAACATATGGCTGCTCATCAATATATAATCACACAAAAGCATAGTTGAGAGAAAGTCAACACACCAGCTCTGGTACATAATCCATTGCACCTTTCACCTTCAAACTCATGATTTTGAACTTAACCCTGCTCTTTTGATCCATTGGTTTTTCATTGTTCTCAGGAGGCTCAACAAACTTGAAGACTAGAAAAAGGCATCCAGGACCAGATAGATAATTGATTCATGAGAATTGATTTGGAAGATAAAGAAGGAAAGTTGTAAGACGTATTATCTAAAATGAATTCCTTTTGAGAAAGAGCAAAAAATGTGATCATTAATCTAACGAAACATTTACCAGTTGCTACGAGGCTCTCGCCAGGAGTCAGAATTGCACCAGGAGGACGCATGAAACAGCTCTTTGGTGCAGTTGTTTGAAACTGAACCAAAAAAAAGAACTGATTAAAAACCTCATTGATGTAATTGTACTAATAATAGCTTGTCACCATTTCCATCTCCGACTTTTAACTTATAGCATGATGAACATGGACAAAGATAAAACTGAAATGTGCAAATGTAAAGGAAGATTTTACAAAGTTAGGGGGTACCTTGAATGCTACATTCGACTTGCTCGTATTTTTAATTCTGATAGCACTTCTGACCTGTTTGCCTGGTTCATCTTCAAAAATGAAAAGGACACAATCAAGAACAAGCAAATCATGACCAGTCATAAGATACAAGCAACCAAAAGAGACCAATTTTCTTAAGATGTTTCTTCTTAGTCCTCAAACTTCAGCACATTATTTTTTGAAAAATTTTAAAACAAGATTTACTTAATTTCATGCTGCAAGTTATTATAGCTAAAACTTTTGTATCCAATACCATACACGTTTCTGCGGCCAGTGGCCAGAGAGGCTACCGATCAGGTGATCAACCTCAATTCCAAACTACAATTAGCACTGTCTCTGAATTGCATGAGCCTTCTAAACACAGAAGCTACAAATTACTACATGAAGAAAAGCCTAAAGTTTTAGCAACACACCTGATCCCTAAAAACCTCAATTTCTAAAAATTTCTCTTCAATCTTCAAAGGAATCTAGTTCCAGATGTAGGCTAGCGTTACAAAATTGTTTCAATCAGAAAATCGTACGAATGTATAGAAGAAATCAGATCATAGATCAGATTCCACAAAGTGAAAACTTTAAACAAATCAAAAACAAGTGACGAAATGAAACACTTACAAGGAAAATAAAGCTTATTCGCCGGATCGAGCTTGAGCCGACGCCTAGTCGGCAGCAACGACTTGGCAACGGAGGAAACCGAATTGTTAGAGCTTTGAGGATGGTTCGATCCTTCTACATGAGGCTGATTTAGACTCTGTTGATGAGACGCTGAAGAAGACGACATCGCGTTGGCGTTCCCAGACTGTCGAAAGGGAAGCTTGAAAAGGCTCCAGACTTTGCCGTCGGACGGTGACTTCTCGTCAGCTATTGGCATCTCCAGTGCATACACGGTGTCGCGTCGGTGAATCCCTCCACCGTACTTTTTATTGAGCTCCAGTTGATGGATTCTTTTCGAGGAAAACGGAGAGACGTGACTCGAGAGACTTGTGGGAAGGAGACCGGATTTCAGAGTAGGATTCAACTGGATTTTAATAGCTGGATCTCAGATCCGTTAGCCTTCGCCTTTTCCTTGTTCTTTTTGGTGCTTGATTAGCGGGCTCACTAATACTGTGGCCTGTGGCCCCTGGAGTAACATAGGCGCTAAGCCGAGCTTAGATTTAGGGCGTATTTAGCTTGTTTTGGACTTCATTTCCTGGAAGCTATGAGTAGATTGGTGCTGGCCTGGTCCTCTTTTTTTTTTTGGGTGCTTAGAACCTTCAAGAATTTCTAAGTTTTTTCATAGAAGAATTTCTAAATTCTCCATTCAATAAAAATGTTAGGAAAATTCTTGAGGACTTGATTGACTAAGGTATGATCAAACACTTGGAGGAGGGGAAGAGCAAGCTCACAACTATTGACTTACACAGCTTCCTCAAATTCTTTATTCATGATGAAACCAAACCAAACCAAACAAGTCCCTAGCATGAAAACTTGTTTATTTAAGAATATTAAGCACAATTGTTTTATTTTGTATATTGGAAGATATGATATATAATAACAAATAATCCTTTTTTTCTTAAATCCTTTGCCATTTATTTTAGAATTTGAATTTGAAATCTTTAATGTAAAAGCTTAAATTCTTAATTTCTTAATCTCTAAGACTTCCCTTAAAAGATTTAAGTATAGTTGAATTAGTTGTGAGAAAAATTATAAAACCTTGAGGGCTTGTTTGGTTGGCCACTTCTTTGGAAAAACAATTTGAGAAAGCCAACCAAAATTGAACATGGCTTGACTTAAGAAATTTAATTTTTTAACATCTAAATCGAGACACAATAGAATTAGTTATAAAAAAGTAGTGCATTATATTTGTAATATAATTGATTATTTTAGAAAAATAAGTGATTATATCAAATATAATTGATTATTCTTTTATAATCAATTATGTTCATTTTCTGAAAAAAAAAAAAAAAAACTTTCCTACGAAAATTACATTATAATGCACTGCCTTTCCTTTAATTATCAATTATATTGTATTTCAGTTTACATATCAAAAAATTAACTTTCTAAGCCAAGCTCTTGTCTGATTTTGATCAGCTTCCTATTTTCTTTTTCTTGGGAAGTGGCTGACCAAACACGTCTTGAAATTTCATATTCAAATTTTGTATTATGTTATTAAATTTATAATTGATTTTTTTATTATTAGCTTGCAAATTTTATTATTTTTTCCTTTAAAACATTATGTAATGACCAAACTCATTATTAATATTATTTGCTTTAACTACTCAAGCTTCATGATTTTAAAACGCCTTAATAAAGGTGACAAGTATTGACCTATATATTTAGCAACACCCCTTTTTTAGAATTGAGTATCCTCACTAAGATTTGCTCTATCATCATTCAAGAAAACATGCAAAGTGGTTTTGATATGTAATAGTTTAACTCATTATTGATATTGTATGTTTTGAGCTTTTCAAGTCTAATCATAATTTTAAAAGGCGTTAATAGAAAATAATAGTGTCACACATTTGGTATCTTTGGCTTGAATGGAAGGAATAATATTTCTTTACCAATTATATTATAATATTTAAAAACATAATAAAAAACCTCATTACTTTCATTTCTTTTTCTTTATTTTCCTCAAATCAAATATATTAAAAGTAAACCAGATGTTTTTAATTAGAAGAGGTGAGAATCAAAACTCCATGTATAAACAAACCAAACTCTTTTATTATTACTATTATTATTATTATTATCTATTTTGAGTTATATAATAAAAAGTAATTTTTTTATTTTTTAATATATTCTATCTATTTATTATTTAGTTCAAACTTAACATCTCTTATTTTTAATTAAAAAAATTATTGTTAACTTATTTAAATTCGTTGGTATAAACAATCCAAACTTGAAACTTTCAAATAAAGACATAGACCAAAACTAAACTCACCAATTATAGCAACGAACAAGCCAAAACTGAACTTCCTCCAAAAAATGAAAATTAACTGTAATTTCCTTGGCGACTGGCGAGCCAAGACTCAAGCGGCTCGGCTTGCTGACAACCCTAGAGAAACTAGGCGGGAGAGGGGACACAAACGTTATCGTTTTTCATTTTTTGGCCCTCCTGTTTTTACCTCCAAGCACAGATTCGATTGCTTTCGACTCTTCAGCAGTGTGAAATGGGGCTGTTGACTTCCTGGAAAAAAGTAGGTGGGTTCCCTTTTTTTTGTTGGCTTTGGGATTGGACTTATTGCACCGTCGTTTAATAAATGTGTCCTTTTTTTGAAGATAGGGATTAGGTAGAGGTAACCAACCAAGTAAACGGGGGAGAAACTTGTAGTCTCTGGTACAGCGGCAAAAGCCTTACTTTTAATCCATCACTTTATTAAATTTATAAGTTTTAATCAATTATTTTATATTATAATTTTTTAATTTTTAATTTTATTAAATTTATAAATTTTTACATATCATTTTATATTATAACACTTTTAATTTTTCACTTATTAAAATTGAAAAAAATAATATTTACTTTGTAATATTTTGTTAGTTTTATTAACTGATTATTAACTTTATTAACTAATTATTAGTTGACTGTTAACTGATAAAAATCTCTTTTTAACTAATAGAATTGACAGAATTAATTTTATAATATTTATTCATTCTATTAACTGATTATTAATTGACTGTTAATTAATAAAAACTTACTTTCAATTAATAGACTTAACAGTCAGTATAAAATGAAGGTTATTTTATGAGATTTTAATCAATAAAGGGTTAAAATCTATAAATCTAGTAAGATGAAAAATTAAAAATGTTATAGTATAAAGTGAGAGGTTAAAATTTTTAAACTTGATAAGGTGAGGGATTAAAAAATAGGTTTTGCCGTGGTGCAATAGGGCACTACTATTGAAATGTTGGATCCCAATTCACTGTGTTTCCTCCGCGTTGCTTTCACCTTTTAGTGGATCTTT